AGCTGGGACAGGGAAAGGAGGAGCTGGGACTAGAAGGGACCAGTTGGGACCAGAAGGGACCACCTGGAACAGGGAAGGGACCAGTTGGGACTAGAAGGGACCAAAAAGGACCAGTTGGGACCAGAAGGGACCACCTGGAACAGGGAAGTGACCAGTTGGGACTAGAAGGGACCAAAAAGGACCAGTTGGGACCAGAAGGGACCACCTGGAACAGGGAAGTGACCAGTTGTGACCAGAAGGGACCACCTGGAACAGGGAAGGGACCAGTTGGGACTAGAAGGGACCAACTGGAACAGGGAAGGGACCAGCTGGGACCAGAAAGGACCAGCTTGAACAGGGAAGGGACCAGTTGGGACCGGAAGGGACCAACTGGAACAGGGAAGGGACCAGCTGGGACCAGAAAGGACCAGCTTGAACAGGGAAGGGACCAGTTGGGACCGGAAGGGACCAGTTGGAACGGGGAAGGGACCAGTTGGAACGGGGAAGGGACCAGTTGGAACCAGCGGGGACTAGCGAAGACCCTGCTGGTGGGGCCAGCTTGGAACAGACTCTCTGCTCCCTCCTCACTGTTTTCTCTTCCCCCCTCACTGTTTTCTGCTCCCCCACAGGGTTTCGTGAGAGAAGACCCCACGGCTTCCATCCGGCTGAAGCAGAGGCCGGCTCTGCAGTGCCTGAATGAGTTCTGCAGGCTGGGCTGCGTCTGCCTCAGTCTGTCTCACTGCTTCAGAGCCAGCCACTGCGGCCGCCCCGCCTGCATGCTGGGCTGCAGCTGCCTTAAGCAGAAGGTGGTAATCCTCAGGAACATGGACAGCTCTGCGTCTGACTCCGCCTCCTCACCTTCTAAAACCAAGAAGAAGAAGAAGAGGGTGATAATGAAGATGGCGTACGGTAGGTCTTTAACTCCTGCATCAGATCAGAATGTGGAGGCATCAGTTTTCAATAGAACCTTCTGACCTGCAGTCCTGAAGGAGGCCGACACGGCTGCTAGTCCTGCGGAGCAGATCCGGACCCTGTGGAGGAGGAATGCCCACGGCCCCGATTCAGAGCCCGTCCACATGCCTGATGTGGCCCCCGTCCTGCGTCCAGTGGTAACTACCCCCCAGCATAGATACCTGCATGCTGCTAATGAATCCCTGGGCTGACCTGAACGCTGTGATGCTGTTTGCAGGTGAGAAGGAAGCGTCCCAGCAGCTGTGCCAGAGTCCGAGGCTTCTTGGGAAGGAAGCAGAAGGTATGGATGCTGGTAGCTCACACCAGGTTCACAACATGACCCGACCCAATGCAGCGCTCAGCTCTCAGACCATCCCCACCGTCATTAGCTTCAGCCGAGTCTCTGGTCCCACTGATCTGGACCGGCCCCTTAAGAAGGGGGAGGTCATCTTTCTCTCTCCACCTGATCCGCCCTTAGAACATCCTGGTGGTTCCATGGATCATAGCAAATGGAGCAACTATTGATTGCTGATTCCCATCCAACCAGATGGCTATCATCAGTTCCTTCATGCTGTCCACCACCAGGTCCACATCCCAGCTCTGGTTCTGGTCCGTTTGCTTTATCTTAACCGCTCTAATTAGTATTCTCTTTCCACTACCCTCTATAAACCGATCTGTGCCGAGTTTGGTTCCTTACGACAGTTTCCACGCCACACTAGCACGGTTCCTCGCCTCCTAGTGGCGATCTTCGGTACTACTGCTCTCTAGAGGCAAACAAGCAAACATGGCGGCGCCCGTAACATTCAGTAAGTTTGAGGAGAGTCAGGCGAAGAAGGCAGCCTTTGATTTACTTGACAGAGTCGGGTTTTGGAAAGTGGATGCGACAAACGATAGTCTAATCAGGGCTTCCAGACGCAGAAAACGACAGACATTAAGGTTCATCACATTGCAAAGCAGAATCATCCCTGGAAATCCTGTGGCACGGTAGGGAAGCTAGGATTTTTATTAATGTCTGAAATGTCTGATTACGGAGGCTGACTGTAAGAGATGACGCGGTCTGCTCATACGCTGTTTGTTATCTTAGAACCGAGCCAGAACTGAACCGCACCGAGCCCTGCTGATGAACTAGTACCATGTTAGTGTGGTTCGGTTGTGTCTGGTTCATTCCGGGTCAGTTGTGCGTACCATTTACACTCCACAGTTTTCTCAGTTACCGTGCTCGGACCAATCTGATGGTTTCAGAAGTGTAGTGGAAATAGAAATGGGTTTATAGTGTTACGGCTTGAAACCACCCAGTGTGACCAGATTAAAACTATTCTGCAAAGAGAAGGGAGCACAGTTCCTCCACAGAAACACCCAGGAGGTGATCTATATCTAACTGGATTCTCCTCCTTTTAAAACCAGTGAAGATTGTTCTCCATCTCTGTCTGCGCTCCACAGACTTTTTTTAATATAATGTGCAATAAAACTGTAAACTACCCGGTTACCAGAATGTTCTTAGACACAGACAGATGTGAGCCCTGCAGCCGGCAGGTGAGATTAAATGATTTATGTAAACTATCAAAACAGCAACACAGTAAATGAAGCCTCCATGCTGCCAGAGACCAGGGTTGATGGTTCTGGAGTGTCTAACCTGCCGGTGACTTCATCCAACAGGAGGGATCCAGGAAGCTGACATTAACCAGGCATGAAGCTCCTAAACTCCCCAGACATGGACAGCAGAGCAGCACTGATGTGGACCCCCCCAGACCCTGTTCTGGTAGGTTCTGATTTCCAGCAGCCAGCTCTGCTTTCAGGTTCTGAGCCAAACGGAGGGTTTTCTGTTTCCTCGGCTGCAGACGCAGACCCGGCACCTGGCTCTGACCCCCCCAGCCCGTCGGAGGAGCGGCACCCCAAACCCTCGAAGCGTCTCCTCATAGTGGCTGACTGCAAGTGGGGGGGCGACTCTGAGCGCAGCTACGTGTTGAAGAAGCTGTGTGAGGCCATGGCTCTGGACAATCTGGACAGACCTTTCTGGATCAGAAAGTACCTCATCACTCCAGTCGATCAGACGGTGGATGACAGCAGTGGGAACCGGTGCATCCAGTACAAGGTCCACATTTCCACCCCCTTAGTGAAGGAACAAGCTCCGCCCACAGGAAATCCAGGCTCACATGGAGGAGAGCAGGCAGTCAGAGCAGCAGCTGAACATGGACAGGAGGGCAGCGATGGGAGCACTGGTTCTGATCCGGTATGGTTCTGTTTTTTTTATCATCTAAAGCAGGGATGTCAGCGTCAAAAACCCAAGGCCAAAAAAACTATCTGCTTCAAGCTGAGGGCTGGACTGGTTAAATGTTT